ACCGCCTTTTTTCCCCACTCACTTCTTCTGCTCTGTTCTGCCGTCTGTCTGATCTTCCAACGGCCTTTACCGCACGCCGCCCGTACTTCAGTGGCAACATTCCGGTGCACGATCAGCTGTTGTTGTCATCCTCGAAGTAGTACTGTTGTTAGTTGTGATTTTCTGCCCGATGACGCATTCTGCGATCACCAGGTTATCTGACGATAATGACAGTGACCGGTTCTTCTGCTGCTGCTGCTGCAGCCGCAGTCGGTGCTAATTCTGTCCGTTCTTCCGGATCGCTTTCTCTTTATTTTTTCTTTCATCGTTTTTTCCGTGTTATATTTATGTATCTTGGGTTCATCCTGTCTCGTCTATGGCTGCGAGTGCTCCTTGTCCTAGACGTCACGGCGGCAGCTAGTCATGAGGGAGACACTGGAAAAGCGGCCACCGATCAGACAGAATAGAAGCTCCATGAAAAATACGACAGCAATGGCCAATCTTGCAGTCGTAGAAAGTATTTCGGTTCTGCTAGGGTTTGTTCTCTTGTGTTGTAGACCCGCGGCCGTAACGTCGCGTAGCGGCGTAACGAAAACGGCAGCAAAAGCGCCACACTCAAAAACCAGCTTCAGCAGATGTTGTTCGCACCACCACTGCCCACTATAATAATTATGGCTGTAGCAGCGGTAGAGGTTAGGTCGCTGACTGGAGGACCATCTCCTTTGTCGATGTCGTCAGCAAAGTTGTTGGCTGTGGTTGCTTACTTTCTTTTTACCGTTGTAATGTTGTATCTATCACTATTGCTGTTGAATCGCGGAACGTCATAAGGCATTTGCCATGTACGCGTGGGTTGCGCATGGTGGAAAATTCGTGAATGTATTGCACGCTGGGCTTGCGTCGTCTCGTCGACAGCCGGGCTTGGGTCTGCTGGCCAGCATAATGTGTGTGATTGTAGTAACCGATTTCGAATGGCGTCTGGTGCAGTAGCAACAGCAGCAGCTACTGATCCTGTTATGTATGTATGTGTGTGTGCGTGTCGTGCGTGGCTGGGTCTCCAAGTCCGTGACACTGCCTCCTCGTCGTTGCTTCTTTCATCGTCACGCTACACCGTCGCTACCCATGATTTGCAAAGCGGCACTGTTAGTAGGAGCGAAAGAGTACGGCATAACCGGCAAGCATTAACACGACACTGCAGTGTCTATGTCTAATGTGCATACTGTCCTTGGGATTCGGTCTAGATCAAACGCATGCATATAAAAACACAGATCGACGCATAGCTTGAAGAGGTCTGGAGCTCAGGCCTAAAACAGATACAGTTTTCACTCGGATTTTCTCTAGTCTGCTCCCCTGTTACTGAAACAGAAAAAAGAGAGGCCAGGCCTAAGGAGAGCATTTCAGAGCAAGTCTGGTGTGTATACCTTTGCTTCTGGCGAAGCTCGTGCCTTTGAGATTCACTGATCCCGTCAACGGTCGGTCGCGTGTGCAGCTTCTGCTGCTACTGCTAACGCGATCACGTCAGAGCAGTCTGTCTGTCCCGTTGTCCATTAGTGCTGTTGTGTTATTGTGATTACTATTGAAGAAGCTACCTGTTTGGCTGGCTGCTGAGACTCTAGAGCGGAACGAACCACAGGTATGATTACTCCCTGTATATAGTTGTGTCTGCATGCTCCCGATTCTCTTCATACTGGTGCGAAGTGCAACGGTGACGATGCCATCGACATAGAACAAATACCAGCCTGTTTGCCCATTTGCGCGTTATCTAGTCGACATTTTTTGCGTCTCTTTCGTACCAACTAGCGTAGTATGCACGAAACACGCAGACATCTGTCTATGTGTTTGTAAGTGTCTGCCGGCACACCGTATGTACATTTGTTACCCCTTTATTTCGGATTTCGTGAGGATGTTGATGGTAACAACGATGGTGGTGAAGATGTTTCTGGGGCATCTTCTAGTCGAGTCATGACAGTGCTTCGCTGGAAAGAAGAACTATATCGAGCGCGGCCGTTACGGCAGCCGCCTGCATTGTTTCGAAAGCACTTTCCCTGTCTGTCCATCCATTTATTTATGATCGACGTTGTTATTATTGTTTGGAATAAAATGGACAGACTCTAAACTGAGCGTTCCATATGGGCAGACTGGTAAATGTATTCTTCCATCGAAAGAAGCAATGACAATGATGACTTCCTAAGCACGACCGCTAAGAAATATAAAAGGGTTCAAATTATTTCTGTTTTTTCGTCTAACATAGCAATTTTACATGCCTACGGAATAAATAAGAATCATTGAAATTCGTATTTGTCACACGAACAACCAACTAACTGTAGATATATTATCTTCTTTTTACATTACTGCTAATGAAAAGCGCGGCTAAATGTATCTTTCTCTGTATAGAACAGAAGTTCTATCTACATAACTGACAAGTATTATGCGCTCGATACGAAATTGTACAAATAGCTAGACAAGTCATTATCTGCTTTGAATTTTCTGGGAACGCATCAGCACGCCACTGTTATTCCATTTAACCATGACTTTATTATTAGAAACAACATCGGTCGATGCGAAAACGACGTTCAGACAGCGCCTCTCGACAGGAAAAATGATCAGAATGACCTAGCTAACAACTAAAAATTAACGCTAACCCATTGGAAATTTGCTACACGATCACTTGGTGATGATTTCTTCACGATGTCTGCCAGTCTGCCCTTTTGTCCTCGAGCTTCGACAAGACTGCTCTATATCTGACTCTGAGATGATGCGCCATAAATGGGTGTGCCGTGAGCCGGATAGCAGCGTCGACCATGTATTCACTAGTGAAAGTAATCATAGTATAAATCGTTTCACCAGATGCTTTCTGCGCTGTGTTTCCTGCCTATAGTTTCCTGCTCACAGATTGGGATCGCATCATTTTTTCGATGTGTGTTCCGGTTTACTAAGCTTTTACATTCATAGGTAGGAAACTAAGTTCGGTTGGTTCTTCAAAGATTTTTGCCCGCTTGTGGATTCGAACTCGAGCTTCTATATCGCAAACTGCGTCCTTTCTTGCTGTCAGAGATAAATGCGATGCGCACACTCGTGTCGATAGACAGAAATTAATCTAGGAAGTTTGTTTAGACGGGAAAGGCTCGCCGTTATGCTCAATACGGAATTTTTCGTTCATTTTAAAAACAATTAGAATGATAAATCAATGAATCTGCCGTGGCCGTACGGTGAGTGAAAGCTGCAAACAACTTCTTGAGTGAGCGTGTCGTCATCGGATCAATTGAAGTACGAAATTTTGTCTTCTATAGCTTTCTATGACTGTAACGGTACAACAATGATCTGCAATGCATAAGAAAAAAGAGGAGAGGGGAAGGGGGAGGGGGAGGGGGAGGGGGAGCGGGAGCGGGAGCGGAGAAGAACTTTGACCATTCGCTAGCAGCCAGCTAAACCGCGGTTGCGGACTACATTGGACTACTAGCAGTTCTGGAAAATGCAGCGTTCGCTTTGTTGGTTTATGTGTTTCAATATACGTCTGTCCATGAGAACTTCTAACATAACTCCGACCGTCTTACTTCTGCCGGATCCTGATAGACTACGGACAATAGCAGAAGTACATATGGCAGGTAAATCAACTATAACATGATCGCAATGGCATAGGGACCTTGCCGCTACCCAATCAGACCCAACGCTAAGATGATAACACGGTCGAACTTCTACCGCGAATGACGTGTAGCAAGGACACAACATCAGCACCAATTATCAGCAGCAGTGGCGCACGGCACCTAATGTAGGAAAGATTGCTTGTTGTAGCATACGAAGTTCTGTACTAACTAGCATAAGTTAAGCGGTGCAATTTGTGACTTAGGATAACATAACGAGAGAGGTAGGTAGGTAATCGACGGTGAAGCAACCGTGTCAGAGTTTGGCTGGCAGCCATCTATCAGTCTGTTCAATATGGCATCGTCCTCTGATCTACCCTTTGATAGCGGTATGCCACGACATGGTGCTAATACTTGTCTAGTACCTTCATGTCGACTACCTCTTACAACGACAGCAACAATAGTGGTAGGTCCCATTAGTTCTAATGGCAGTGATGCGAAGCTTCGTTGGGTGAACGCTTGGTAAGGCTGATAAATCAGCCAGTCATCCAAGTATGTAGGTGTCGTTGACAGCACAGACAGCATTCGTTACAAGCACACGCGCACTCGACCGACGACCAGACAGAGACGATCAAAAAACGAACAGTTTTTCTGCGACGGTCGAATGATAACATAGCAGTGGTAGTAATAGTATTGGTCTGCGTAGTTTAATATAGGGGAAATTGGACGGCAGCGGCGTTTAACTATAGACGATGATGGACGGACCGACGATAACTCCGCTCTGATCGATCCCGACAAAAACCAACGCTGCGGGACCAAACTTTCCTCTTTAGCTTCTTCTTTACCTTCCTCGTTAGCGTCACGGTCAACGGTTAATTGATTTCAATCTCTGCGCAAAACACAGCCAGAAGCGACTCGATCCTTGGCAAAGCCACGTGTCCTATTGAAGGAGTGACAGAAATTGATCAAGAAAGATCTTTCCTGATAGGGCCAGCTGGTCAGTGATGATGATGATGATGGCGCCTGAGCGATTACATGCACCGATATACTAGGCGCAGGTTTGTATGTGGAAACGTATCCTATTGGAACTGACAGGAGAACCGCAACATAGCGGATTAGTCTAGCGTATGTATATAGACAAAGGGAATTTAGGTTGATGTTACAGTTTCATATAGTCGAAACAATGTCTAAATTGAAGCAAACGATGTACGTAAACATCGCGGTTAAGAAAATTTACAAGCTCATAAATGTCGATAACCCTGGCAGACGGGATCAACACGTATATGCGTTTCAAAGCAATTGAATATTATCCGGTCTAATAAGGCGTTTATCACACACTATCATATACTATATTATTCTCATACACTTTTCCATTGATGAAAAACGGGACTTCCTTGCGATTATAATAATCCTCTGTGAACATTTTTTATTTCCTCACCACAGTATATATTGTCCTATATAAAACGATCGGTAGGGGATTCACTACGCATTAGGAAATCATAAAACAGTTTGCTTCGAACTAGAAAATTATTTCTTTGTCATTATTTCATTTGAGATCTTCCCGTTTGCCTAAGAAAAAGACAGAGAACTTTCTTTGTTGATTTTGAGCAAAATTTGCGCACGGCACAGACGTATCTCTGTATGCGTTATAGTTTTTCCGATAGCCACAGCGTTATTGCCGCCCGAACGCTTGCAACCTGTTGTGGGAGCTTCACGCACAAAGTCGTCTGTAAAAAGAAAGGCCGCTGATATCAACGGTTTCCGTCACCACAAGAGCCGGATTGCCTCCATAGCCTCTGATCGTCGTCGGTGGAGTTTCCCGATTCGTACGACACATTTTTGCCCCTAAATAAAAGAACTATTCGCAACGCTGCCATCAGAAAAGCAGTTACGAACATTAAGTAAAGGTAAATGTATTCTGAAAGTACCAGAACGTCTCGGTTGTTTATCTGGCTTGCTCGCGGATCGGTTTTCTCGGGCTTTCTCAGAAAACTTTGTCTCCAGATTTGTGAACAACCTAGCGGCCGAAATGGCGTACCATGACATTTCGGTGTTAATGATGGTAATGGCAGTGCTAGTGGTGCGGTTAGAAACAGACCGTTTCGCCACCTGTTCCAACGAATGGTAGAAATAGGGGTACAGATGTTCGGCTTTTCTCTACGTCGGCATGTTGTTGTCGTTAGACGAAGTGTGAAAGAAGGGAGGAAAAATAGGGAAGGATGTAGACAATCTTGTGTCACGGCATCGCTACGGGAGTAGTAACGATAAGATTAATTAATAGCAATAATTGTAATAATAAAGTCGACTACAGATGACAAAAATCAGAAGTCATTCGTTCTTCTGGTATAATACTGCGACGACCGAAACACAAAGTTATCACTCTTATAATACCCACGATAGACTGATTCTTTGACATACATTACTGTCCAGATGTTTGTGTTAACAGAAACCAGATCAATAGAAGAATAGCATCATTGGTAACATTCGTCTGAGATTGTTGTTATTCTATGATGTGAGCACGCGAAGTTTTCCAGTATCGTTTTCCCCTTAGACTGGATCCTTTAGCAATGAAGGCTTACCACTTACTATTATTATGAATTGTTTAATTGTGGTTATATCACAGGTACAAACAAATCGATTGATGAGCGATATTGTAGGCAAAGCTGACTCTGTCTAATATAGCAAGCGTTCTACAAGGGCACTTTCGGTCACCTTGTCGAAGATACCATATATATATATATATATATGTAAAAGTAATAAAGTGAAAAAATATATATAGTTAAGGCTTAGAGAAAAGAAATATGCTCATGTACACTGTTGAAGTGTTATTTCCTTTCGAAGTGGGTTTGATGTCACGTGCCAGCGGGCGTGTATTGTGGATGACGGGTGTCGCTGTTAATATTTAGACCTTACGATAGCCGAGGTCTTCACGACAATCTGCAGTACTCGGCACATAGAACGCTTTGGCTATCATTATGTCATCAAATTTAGTAACAAAATAGTTTTTGACCTTACCTATATATTTCGAACTGCTGATACTATTCATAAAAAGACGTAAAACAAATGTGTACCCTAAATTTCCTCATTCAGCAGCTGGATCGTGCCCTGTTCAGATATTTTGGAGTAAATTCGAGTTTGATTATTTAAAAGCACGAGCTGTGGTACATGACTATTATAGTTGATGCACAGCTGGTGCAATGGCTAGGCCTTATAGTTATAACGCTAGCTTTATTACCTGCGTCTCTGGAGGTCTTCAGTTCCTTTCGATCGCCAGCGAAATACAACATCGGTACGAAATACAAGCAAATTACCTATTTGTTTCTGCTGTATAGCAAAGCAAACATTACGGCAACTGCTGCTGGTTCACTGGGTACACGCAAGCAAGACGTGTATTTGCAGGAATACAGTTCCGGTTTAGCCCCTGTACGCAAAGCCCAGCCGACTCCTTTGGCTGAATTATGGAAAAGATAGCATTGCATGTCCTGGGCGTATATTGCTATCTCAATAGAAGCGTCTGCCTGCGGCCGCATTAATCTTCCACATTTGCTTAGTCCCACTATTTCTGTCATCTTCGAAGCATAGTCTAGCACAGCTGCATTGAATGTGGCTACCCGCGCGTACTCGCACAGAGTTGTATATTATTAAGATGTCGCATTTTACTGGGTTAAATTTCGCTCTCTTTTTGTCACAGCGTTTTTTATATTTGTTATCTCTGCTCGATAATTCGGATCTTTCTGACATAGGCGAAGGGGAAGAAAAATAATTACTTAGCCAGCGCTGATTTAAGTCGGCACAATTGCGGATCGACAGAGTTAGGAGGTAGTCGTTGCTGGTGCTGCGACGAATTTCGAAAACCGACGGTACTGACTGTAATGACGTTTTCGGGGTTTTCCTTGATGTTGACATCTCGTGTGACGGTCTCTCAATCTCTTGTCAGCTGCGGTCAAGAACCAGCTCGGCGGGCAAAAGCTAAAACCAGGAGGCCCTTTTCGACGACTAAGTGGCGCCACCTGGTTGGTCAATCATGGACACGACTCGATGCGGACGGCGAGCGAAAGAGCCTACCGACTTAGAGATGTTTATTCTAGTACTTATCTACAACGAGCCTGGCTCAGAGGACTGACCAAGCGCAGAATGTTCCTTCATGGTCGGTAACTAGTGATTATCGTCGTTCAACGCACTCATTTCTATGATGAAAAACTAACACGTTGCCTAAAAATTCGAGCTGGGTACAGATGTTGATGTGGTATCTTTAGCATCGTAAACGTCAACGGTAGGCCAAGAAACATCACTGACGCAAGGCATCGTGGGTGGTAGAGAATGCTATAATAATATTAGCAGCGCCGTCGAGAGAGACGAGCGAAGGCGATTTCACCAGAATTTTCGAGGTTTCGGTGATAGAAATTTTTGGCACAGCGTGTAGGGAGGCCTGCTTCTGTACAGAGCTCTAGATGCGCCTAGCATTTCTCTACCTAACGGGTTCGATACCAAAGAGACACCTGCTGCTGCTGCTACTACTGCTGCTGCTGCTGCTGTGATCGTTGCCGCCTTGCGTGATAATTTTTTGCGAATTTCAATAGTCGACAGGCGCTCTCAGCGGCCGCTATTGACGTCGTGAAGGACCGCTGCAAAGTTGTTCGAGTCTGCCGAGGACGTCTGCAATAGAGGAAACAGTATCATGCCGGCGGTGTACCTTACTTATAAAAAACGAATTTTGACGGAGAAAATCGGTCGTTGCTCAACGCATTGTTGTCGTGTTGTTATATTATTATATAATATTACATTGGCGTAATAATAATGATCGTAATATGATAGAAATATTATAATAACTGATGCTAACCACTTGATTGACTAGAAATATATCTACTAGACAGATTTGCCGGCAAATCTGGTGATACAACGCGCTGATGAAACGAGACATGAGAAACAAACAATATGTAAATTTACATACGGTGATCGACGAGTCTGAATTTGTGGAGCTATTAAGTGTCATATCTAGTACTGCCCTCTTTGCTGCTGCTGTCACAAGAACTGTGTCTGGATGAGAAAATTCATTTTTCGTGCTGGTCATTCCATTGTTGGTGTTATTATCATAGCAATAGCTTCCATCTTATTTGTGCATGTGCCAAACTAACGAGATATCCGTGTGATTGAACCACGTAATCACGTTTCGTCTGTCGGCCGCACGGCAGCAACAACAACAACAACAACAATAGCAACACACACAGCAGATAAATTCACTATTGTTTTTATCAGAGCTTTGCTGGTTAAGTGAATGGTTTGTCTAGACATAGGGCGAGTCCGATTATCATTAAGTCTGCCGCACAGATATGGGCCTCAAGTGGGTTTCAAGGAAGCGTGTTGCCCATGCGGACTTCGGTTCAAAGCACAAAAGGGTCAGTACAATGTTTAATCCGGCATTATATCATGGTGTAATGGCAACACATCGAAATGATTTTTCCAAGAAGAACGTTTCTCGTTCGAGACATGATTCGTGAGAGCTCTACTATCTGTACAGCTCGTGGCAAAAAAAAATGCAAGAATGCCGGTGTACAGAGTACACAAATATAAGTTGAACAGCTTTAATCAACGTGACAGAATATGGTACGTTGTAAAAGAAAGGTACACATGTGAATTTATTGCTAGTTCAAACATCGAACGAATCACTGCTAGTGCACAAAGCATATATATTCTGATTCGATCCACTTCATTCCTGTTAAACATGCATACGTTACGAAATGGGTATTACTATCGTAATATATTGGCAAGGAAACAAATCAAACGCAGTACTTCACGAGGCCGATGTATGCGTCGATAGTTAAAGCTAGAATAGTACAGGAGCTAATAGTAAGGTCACTGCGGTGATCTCTTCAGAGGTAAACAAAAACTGTTTTGCCAGTGATGACCTTCGTAGCAGACGACTATAGAGGTATTTATGTTTCAGTGTATCAGATTTTAGTAATTCATCGAAGCCATTTAGCGAAGCCTTCACTATCATGAACTGATTTATGTTAGGATTCCATATTTCTTTACCTGTCATTGATACGTGTTGTACGCGCAGAATAACGTCCGTTACTTGTCGTCAATTAGCTAAGCGTTACGCTATCATCAAAAGTGTTGTTAGAAACATAAAAAAAACGTTGATAGAAACATCTTTGATAGAATAATTTTATTCCCGGGAAATACTGTCATTGGCTAGGAAAAAATCAAAACTTCACCCGGTTAGTAGGTATCCTTACCAGATAGGTGTACGGGCACATGCATGTGTTGTAGAGAAATAGCTGGTTAATCAGAACAGATTTCCGTTTCTAGCTCTCGTATTTACGATCGTTATATTCGCCGTACCGCATAACTTCTGTTCTATAAAAAAAATAAATTCCGTCGTAGTCGGATTGTGAAATGAATAACGTGTAGCTTTTACCTTAAAGAAAAAACACGCACAGAATTTTTTCTAGGCCAGAGGTGCTAATGTTGCGATAATGTTTTTTTGAATTTTCAGATGACAAGGAAGACGATCGTGACTTGTCACGTATCGACGCACCTCTACTACATCTCCTGATTCGAAGTTAGGTTGCGTTCGCACGTGCCCATCCGCCGCGGCAGTCCGACGTCGGCGGAGAAGACCTCCGAACACTCAGTCAACATCAATGTCTTTTTCAACGAACAGAAAAATAATATGTATTGTCGTCAACGAACATTCTCTTTCACATATATAAATGCATGTACATAAATCTCTGTTAAAAAATCTAAACGCAAAAGTGGATATAATTGAAATCGGGCTAAAACAAACATGATTTTTTTTTACATACACACATTTAAAGACAGACAGATGACGGCGGCGAGTGGAAGATGATCATGTTCGAAAACATAATTGTTTACGGCAGTTACCTCTGGTCCTCCAGCAGCAATTTACGTAGGCAACGACGACTGAACTCCGACAGTCAGTTAACGGAAAATAGGTATTTATATCAGTCTGTTTCGCTTTATTAGCATCAGCGAAGTCAATAGTTGAGAAATTTTGCATTGTGTATTAGATAAAATCATATGATGGCAAACAACTGTCGATTTCAGGGTAGAGATTAGAGAAATGCAACGTTAGGGTATATAATCGTCGAACGTGTTACATATCTGAGGGATGCGCCGTGCGTTACCAAGCGAAAACGATTTAGTGCGTCTGTTAGATAAGGTCAATTGTTTGTCCATCAGTGTGATGCGTAAACCGTTACGTGCATGCAATGGCTTGGTGAGGTCGATGGTGGTCCGCGCCTGTTCGAATGAATGCGTAGGCCAAAAAAACTCGGGAATAGGACTCGTCTTGCGTGCAGTACGGAGAAAACTTAAGGGGCGCAGTATACAAAATTTGCCCTAAACGCTGGGTCAGCATAACCCATTCGCAGACAACTATCCTGTTTTATTTGCTAATAGGATCCCATTATTCGTAAACTAGTTTTCCATAGTTTTGTAACTATATTCAAGTTTATGTCAATTTGCTCTTGTTTCAACGAAGTTCAAGACATCAAAGATCAAAACGATTATCGGCAATGTCAACAAAGGCCATTTTTATTCTAGTTTTTTCATTTTAACCATTGTCTTTCCGCATATATTTCATATGGAACCGGTTGTGTAGCCGATATTTCGATTTTTTTTTCTTTTATCAACCTGAAATATCCTATCAGATTTGTGAGGCAGACTGTAAGACCCATGTAGTCTGTTGACGTTAAATAAGAAAGCATAACAACATGTAAAGCCTTTTGCCCATTTCTCGGCATCATCAGCGTCCGTTAGCCACTAGTCGGTTTTTACGAATCGAACGATATCGCAGTGGCCTCGGTCGGTCGCATCAGCGATATCGTTCAACGAGAAATTTTTGATACGGCCACAGTCGCTGTCGGGAAAACGCGGCAACAACCACTCTTTTACTTTCTTTTACGCGTCAGTTTCAACGGACGGAGCACCATTTAGTGAATGACGCGTCGATAATCAACCTACCAGTTATCCAGCTAGTGAGCAAACAAAAGTACAACAGCGTCTTATGGCACAAAATAAACGCTTGTCATGCTAAAATATATCGTTGTCAGAGTGAGCCACGTGGAAAGACACTGGCAGACAAGACGACCAACCGCGAAGAGTCGTCGGAGCGTCTTGAGCATTATACGAGCAGCCTTCCCAAAAGATACAGATTAAATAAAAACTTACCTTCCGCCACCATTCAAATCTAATCCACAAACGCAGCAGCGATCGCTCCTACGGGTTTTGACGAGAGGACTCACTCTGGTGCGTATCTTGTGATTTAGGCCAGTAATTTTTCATAGAGTTGAACTTTATTTGGTCTTTCTTTTTCGGCAAAGATTGTGTGCGACCCAGACACTCCCCAAGACGCCGTATCGATGTTAAGAGTCCTCGTGTAACTGTGTCACGGCCGAAACGGCCAGAAAAAATCAAACTGAGATTTGCGCCCATGGGCAGAGAATAGGAAAAGCGATTGCAATACTTGCTTCGAACAGTCCTTTAGCATGAGTACCAAATCAGGTTGGAACAGTACACCTTCATATAGTATAACTTAATGCCGGGTTGTTTGAATCTAGTTTACAATGCAATAGACAAGTCGTTTCTTTATCGGCGATACCGAGAACAGGGCTGAGGCCGAGTTTGCTTCGGTTTTTGATCGACGAGTCCTCTCAATCGATCGATCGATCGAAGAGAGTTTCCTAGTAAGTGTTGGCGTTTCGAGATCAAATCGTTTCGTACCAATTTATCATTGTGAGGTCTCAGGATTAGAGTGGATTACAGCCTTAGGACCGGTCCCGTTATTCTGTTTCCGAGACTGATAAGCCAACCATCGTCCGGCATCACTGAACGAGGCGTCGTACGTGGATTGAATCAGCTGCTTTCGGCTGACGCCAAACCGACGTGCATGGATCGAAAACGAACCCCATACCCGCACGGGCACGTATAAGCAGATGGATATATTAACTATTACTAGCCTTTCATTCCTCAATTCCAAAGCCATGTTTCAGTGGTCAAGAAAATTCAGTGATGGCTACAATCAACAAAAACGTTCCAGCAAAAATATTTTTTGATTACAAAATACAGAGAGTAAATAAAAACGATATACGGGTATTGTACGAGTAAAAGTTGGGATAATTTAATTCGTTTTCGTTTAATTGAAAACGCAAATAAAAGCACGTCATTCAGCACATGTATTGCGGGAACTACCGATATAACGCGCCGCTATGAGCAGCTGCAGCTAGACTCAATTTAACTGTTTACTTACATTTTGCTGTGATGTGAGCTTTTTTCTATGTTCCTTTGTGTCTGCTAGATACGTAATAAAAATAATTGCATGGAGGTACCAGCCACCTGATTGTCCGATGATATTTATATCTTGTTCTCAGGATATATATAGGTTTACCTGCTGTTTAACCTGTCTGATGTACTACTATCTTAGGTCCATCTAACTGTAGACCTCGGAAAATTTTTATCCAAATCCGAAATTTTCTGTTAGACAAAACACTATGCAGAGCTCCAAACATACGGGCACGACGTGGTGCGTTCGTAATGAAACACATAGTTTTCATGAGTCGACGTGTTCTATCCAATGAGCTTTCGATACCAGTCTACACGCTATGAGCACCCAATATGCGCACCTTAAGGACAAGCAAACAAAAGGAGAAAAGAATATTGGGTTAGGGTTCGCGACGAAACCCTGTTGTACCCACAAATTCCCTTTGTATATAAACTGTATTATTTATGTACCTGACACACGACAAAGCAACAAGAGGCTGTGAATAATAATACTAATGATAATAGAAATCATACAATAGGAAGCGATAATGCAGCCGATCGATTTTTTCCTTTTAAAAATGAGCGCACACGTGTGGCAAATCTGTTCGACTAAGGGACACGCAACAGACCTTTGAATAACACCAAAAAAAAAACATCATTTTTCTACGCTGACACCCACAACAATCAATGTCCATATAGTACATCGATGACAGTATATTCTTGAACGAAAATAGAATTTAGATGCGTGTATATCACATACATCAAATATCTCGTTAAAGACACGAACCAAATGGAAGTCCTTCAGAAATCGAAGTACCACTATCAACTTCAATGTAGCCTATTGAGAGAGTAACTGGTCATTCCTACAAGAAAACCTCATCAAGGCAGCACGAAACAAATAATCACTTATGGTATTGAAATTAACCAATTAGGCAACAGACGTCCAGAAAGGAATAACATTATATAGCAGATGTATCGATGTAATATGCAAGTTGAATGTTTGTGTGGCTTTACCGAATGAGCATCTTGGATAGGTAATTTTCAAGATGTCTGAAAAATGTACGAAAAATTTGGCAGTGTCAAGACAAACCAATTTTGAACAAATCGGGGGTGTGTTACGTAAGTGTTTGCTTCGTAGCTAGTGAGGTTCCCAGTCTGTGCTCCGACTATTTTCTCGTATTAATTGACGCGTGCATAGATCGTTCTGAAATACGCTAAGAAATCAGAGAAGCAACAGAGAGCGTTCTGGGCATCTATATATATATATATATATATATATATATATATATATATATATACACGTTAGTAGTCTTAGGAATATATACAATTTTCTGGTCGAAGAAAGAAGCTAGCTTAAAGCCGGAAACACATTATGAAAGGACGATGACTTCATCGTTGATGATTTATCTCAGTGAATTTGCTCTTCATTGTAAGCGATAGACAAAAACCGAGAGAGTGAGATAGGACGGACGAGCAAAAGCGAATAAACGAATCTTATCAAAGGTTGCTTTAAAAATCATCGTTTTCATTTATCCTAGGTCTGTACATATATATATATATATATATATAAAATTTCTTACATGCATCAAGTCCACGTTGTTAGCATGGCAATCAGTGCGACTTTAATCAATAACAGAGCTTTTATGTTGATCCGCTTACCAAATAAATTTACCTCATTCTTTCGCTAAGCGAAGCCCATCGAGTGTCACCGATTTGCGGCTGCCAGACAGCTCCGAAGGTGCACGAACGGGTTTTTTAACTCCTCGATATGCTCTTCAGAGATCCAGTTACAAGTGAACTTAAACATCGTTTTATAAATTTACGAAATCGTTCGAATGATAAAGTCCTATAGAGGTATAAAGCGTTCTACATCCGTCTCCGCATATAGGGTACAAAGTTAGAAGCGCACAAACAAGACCAGAGAATACGAGCGTCCGTGTCGGAATCTTCAACAGCCGCCGCAGCCAAAAAGGCGGACCTTGGACGCGACAAAAGGAACATTACCACCGTTAAGTGTTGATGCCGGTACCGACATGAAAGGCGGCCCCCGCAGTTCCGACATCTGGAATCGATGATCGCCTTCGAGCAGTCGTAATTTATCAAATGACGGTGTATAAATACTGTGATTAGCTGTTTTTCTTTTCTATTCTATTTTTGTACCTCTTTCTCTATTTTCTTATTGTTATTAACGCCGCCATATAGAGTCATTATATTGAGTTAGTAATTTCAAACAATACTTTAATTTTTAGAAAAACCTCCATGATACGAGAATACATAGGATCAAGATAGTGCTAAATAGAGCTTTTGTGTCGAACCGTTCATAGGGTCCAGGTAGCACAAGTCTCCAATCCTTAGAGCTGAAATCTAGCTAGTAATATCCAAAGGAAGATTAAAAAAGATCATAGTATTCGCATCATCAGCGTGCGAAACGGGCGGACGTATAGAAGTCTAGTTTGGCTCTTCATTCTAGGTCTTTCTATCGATCCAAGGAATGACAATGTTTGACCAGCCTTAGATCCAAATGGGAGATGTATTCTCCTATCAATCGGCATTGATTATCGTTGAACTAAAAAATTGAGTGGTTCTAATCGGAATTCAATAATAATCTACCGTACCGGTCTGTTCCATTGAGCTATGGACAAAGCGAATCTAATAATACAACTATCGAAGTTTTTATATAAAATCTAGAATGACTGTCGCATTATTTTAGGGTCCAGCAAACAGAAACAGAAAAACATTTGAAAATTTCCCTTAATGATTTTCTATTGGTGATGGCCATTATTGTGTCCCTAACGGGCAAAAACTTTAAGCTCCCGTTACTCCTTGTGCTTCTTCTTCGTCTGCCATGCAGAACAGCGGTGGCAAAGAAACGGAAGCGAAGCTTTCGAAGGCTTGCACATCTGCTTTGAGCGTACGGTCCAATAGTTAAAACTGGAAGATTGCAGCGGTACGTGCCCTCCTCTAAAGAAGTTTATTAACAGATTCTTGGAAAAAGGGAGCTATTTCCGTTCCCTAAAGAGAGCTCTTTTTCAAGTCGGCCGGAAAATCGCTTGAAAAAAACCCTATCTGCCAAACAACGAAATCGTGACCCCCAAGTGGCCATAGTCCTCTACGGTCTACCATTGCATGAAGTGTAAGAACAAACATAAAAGGAAAAGTCAAAGGCTTTCATACGCTCTCCTCTATAGCTACCTCTATCGATAAGCGGCTTCGATTCAACGTTGTAAAACATTCGAGTATGGCCATACCCTTAATTTACGGAAATTTTATTATTATTTATGGACTCTCTACACAAAGCTAGATTCCAATATTTAAGTGCGTAGCAGATTTAAACAGAATCTGACGCATAACGTTATTTATAAGTAGCAACCTTTTATACAGATGTCTAATTAGTTGAAAAAGGTTCGGGGAGCCCATTCGAAATGAATTATTACGTGTTCGGCTTAAATTTTGTATTATTCGATGGTAGATCCCAACGATCCGGCTTTGGTAAATCAGATAACCAGAAAACTAGCGAGCCAATCACTCGACGCCTGGCTGCTAGACAGTCTTCAGACGATTCGTGCTGTTCCGTCCGCTTTTGTCGTGCTCCGATCGCGTCTACCGCCGACGACGAAAAGCACCAGTAGTAACAGGAGTAGTGGGATCCATTTGCATATATAACTATTTATATTTTGGCGGTAACAAATTCTGCCAGTACTGCTTTTGTCCACGCGTTCGTTTACCGCTTATACAATTCGTTCGCATACTACTGTTGACTTCCTTTCCTCATCAACTTATCCTTTATGACGATAATCTTTTGTGTTGCCAGCTTCACGATCTTCAGCGCTAGCACCAACAGCAAAAAGCGCGCGAGTGAGCACGCAGCGTCATGATTAGTTGCTTCAGAACCTAACAATAATCTTCTACTAGTATTATTCTAGGTATATACATACCTGAAGGATCAAGTTGTTCCTTGCGAAGTGGTCCCAGTCTATCGAAGTGCATGCAGTCGACGCTTCATTCACTCGTCTACCGCTGGCTAAGTTCCGCTGGTATAAAGTCATTATCATCGATGTTATCATCGCTTAGGGCACCGTAATTCACTCAGCGGTGATAGCAAAACTGTCTATAATATGTACCTCGTATTAAAGAAAAAACAACTAGGATTCGTATAAGCGCTTCGCTATCTTCCGCTGTTCGTTACGCCGACGTATCGTCGAGCCAGATGAGAAGTCGAGATGTGTATAGCATTTCCTTCCCAAGCATGAACTACTGCATCATTTTTGGCCGCGAATGAATTGTGCCACGGTACGGCAGACTAATACACGGACTCGCACAGTGTTGCCGGGAGCTCCTTTCGGGCATTTCTTGTCGATCGTGTTACGAACTGGAAAGTTACTAGGGTAAACAAAGTCAATATTCGAAACACAGTTTCCTAATATTTTTCAGCTATCATAAACGTTGCTGCTATTCGAACGACTCATGGACTAAGCCACGTAAACGTACGTTCGCTCGGCTGAAAATTGCATTACGTCTCCGTTTTCTATAGATAATATATTCAATAAGAGCCTATTGTTCTCCATGTCGCTATCCAAACGTTTTTTTTTTTATTTTTAGCAACGTCCGTTTGCATACGAATTTATGATGGCTGCCAACTAAAATTAACTGTTACAGTATATACGTACGTGTTCTGTAACGTAAATACAGCGTTTTACGACTATGCTCAGATCGTTTAGGACATACAGAGTTTAGCTAGAAATGTGTACGAGCATTTGACAAAACGTTTCATCTTAGCCATGAGAGCCGATACTGGCCTTGCGCATTACGAGGCACGTTTACGCCGGTGCCTAATGCCGTTTGTTTGTGCGGCTGTTGGACAATGTCGCTGAGATCGCCTTGCTTGTAGACTATCACAGAAGCAATCCAGAACCGTCTCTATCAACGAAAGTATACAGTATACAGGGCAAATCGTTTTAAATGGTGGTTGATTAGCTTTCACCGGCCGTATTCAAGTTTTGATATGATGATATTATTGTGAAGCTGCCACCTTAATGCGTAAGTCCTTATGGCTGGAACCCGCCATAACCGAGGAGAGCACAGCCTATAGAAGAAAACCTATGCAGTGGTAGTTTGCCTCTTAGTTATTACGAGATTAATTCATTGTAACCACGAGCGGTAAATTGTCAGAGCATAGCAAGTGTTTCAATTGGAAAAAAAAAAGTCATTTTCGCAGCAAACAAACAAAGCAAGCCCCGGATGAATCGGAGCTGCTGAGCAATACACTCTGTTTGCAGAAGCTGACTGGTCAATGCAGTCTCACAATAGCACTAAAGCTTGAGAAAAATCCACTTGAAAATCCTATTTTCAAGTGCGCACAAGGGGATGGCATTAACCGAACCTAGACACCTCTTTCCAATTCGTCGGTAAGTATTTCCAATTACAGAAGCAATAGTAACAACAACAGTGTTATTCAAACGCCACGGCAAGATGTAATATGTTGCCTTTATTGAAAGTCATTGGATGCATAGAAAAGCGCGCGGCGTGTTATGGCAATGCGTGATCAAGATGAGGGTCGTAAGCGTTTGTGGCCATTTGTTCTTTGTCCAAGCCACTTACTCTTCTAGATCCAACTCTCTGTCTACCCCCTTTTTCTGTTTCTAATTGTTTTACTGCTTATCCTGATCGACCAAGCACCGCGGCCTGGTACGCATAGCGTCCAACGCTATAGAAAGCTCAGTGCTCGGTTGAGATTTGCCCTCATGAAGGACGGAATGCAAATAGGCTGAGACGAGCAGGAATTAACCAGTTGCCGCTATTCAAGTCAGGCGTTACCAACAGCAGGAGAAAAAGAGAGCGCGCAAAAGCTGATTCGGTTACCTATTCAGTTTATTTATCTCATCATCGTTAATTTGACAAAATGGAAAAGGCTCCTGCCGGTCCAGTCGAGCGTGAAGGGACGCAGATATGAGGATCGTACCAGTACCACCATCAGGAATTAGAGATCGCCACAAATATGTCATCTTTTTAAAAAGTCGTTCTTTTTTTAATTTTTTTAAAAAAAACTATTACTGTCATCACCTCCACTGCTCCTACTGCCTACGCCAACCCGGTCAGCTGACCGCAGCCGCCTCTTGCTAAGCAGCAGCTGCGGTCTGTCTAGGATAGACAGTCACACGTCTTTCACGTTCGCACTGGTCCAACTTTCCAGCAGGTTCTGGTAAAGGCTGATCGATCATCCGATGAACCTCGCGAAGTCAACAAATCCACAAGTTTTAACAGCGGCAGCAGGTTTGGCGTCCATTCTGGCCGTTTCGATTCGTTGACCTTCATCGTCCTTGTCGCCGTCCACTATGAACAGAATTCTTTTTCGCTCATTTTGTTGTGTGAGGGGTCCGCATCGCGGCGGCAGCGGCAACGACGACGATGACAACATTTATAGGCAGCTGGTAAAAAATACAGAGGCAATTTTTGACAAGAAGCTTTTACTGCCATGCACACTGTGCCCCTAGCTTGCACATGCTTCATCTA